AGAATAAATCTGTAACATATATATATACATCCAGTTGGCCTGTCGTATAATATTGAATAATAAGTTAGGCACAATGTCATAATATCATTCATATACCTAAGTTGATTTAGGTTACTATATGGTGAGTTAAAAAGAATTCAAAAACACCACAAAAAATATATCATAATTCAAGTGATTCCACAGATTGCGAGTCGAGTGCCCTAACCACCTAGCCATGCCTGGCCGAAGAAGAAAGGTCCACCTTTCAAAAGCGCTCGGGTTATAGGGGCTTTTATTCATTTCTATCAAGACTTCTTCAACCTACGTGTTTTTCTAACATCATGAATGTTGTTTATTAAGATATTTAAGAAAATGTGTAACTTTAAGTTTTTTAAATGCACCATTCTTTGTTGAAAAGGCTCTCTAATTACGGGTGTCTCCGGTAACTAATTACTGAAATTGCAATATTCTCATCTCAGAACAACTGACGAGTACTTTCTTAATTAAACAGCTTACATAACTTCACAAATTTAATTTTTATTGTTTATAATGTCTTATGCTTTTAAGCACAAACTTACACAATAGGCTTTTTGCGATGTGTTTACTGCAGGTATCAAACCCTGATGTTTGGCGTTATAAGCCGTCAAGTATACCACTGAGACACCATACGTAATATAATATCTAAACAGGCGTAATTTGTTTATTTTGCCCTCATTCATTTCAATGATATTTTTTTTTCATCATATAATTTTTTCTGTGGAATATAATAAGTCTAGTTTTAATAAGGTTGACTTGAACTCTTTGAAAATTAATTGGTTCTAAATGTCAAAAATAAATAAATAAAAATACATATATAAATTTAGTAGTATGTCGTTTTTCCACTAGAGTTCCGACGGTTGTTCTCATCAGTCCTCGCCATCAGACGAAAGTTTCGTTTGGTCTGAAGACGGTGGGTATACTGGTAAATATATATTCGAGGAGGAGGCGCAAAGAGGTTCTAACCATCATCGACTTGCCCTCAAATGTGTGAGGAATTCCTACAGACCTAAACTTGGAGAGTTTCAATGTTGTCATTTTCGACCTACTACTGCTACTACTACTGTTAATAACAGGTCAAAGTCTGACCATCGCCACCTCAGGAGATTCAGCAAAGTAGGTTCGGTTGGTAGCCGTGTGAAAAGGTACGAGCCATCTCTTACATTAAACCCCCCTTCAGCTAACAAAACATCGTTTTACTTGCACCATTCTCACATTAGTCCTGATGACCGAGTAAAGAAATTGTTTGAGAACACTAGAGAGAGCCACCTTCACTCAGCTACTAGAAGCACGTCATATCAAAAATCTACCAAAAACGTTTCAACAGAAACCAGTAGGTTTTGTTTTTATTGCATAATATTCTGTGACTTAAGTTTTAAGATCACTTTCATAAGAAAACTTCCATGCGAGTCTTTTTAGGGTGATTTATGTTCTAGTATAAAGTGGAAAGGATTAAAGAAAGGTTTCTTTTAAGTTCATGTTTCAAATGTTTCGCAGCCTCCCCACCCCTTATTTATTTATTTAAATTATGTGTTATTTTATGTTTTATTTAATTACTGGACTGCTTCGTTATTCTTAAAGTTAAACTTTTAGATTAAATGATATAATTAAAACATAAAAACGAGACACCATTTAAAGAGGTTGTAGACACTGTACTCAACACGTTGTGTTTTAAGGTTCTTTCCACTCTTCATTCATTTCCCTCTTTTTCTAATTTCTCCAGTTGAAAAGTAGAAAACAAAAATTTTTGAATACAATTTTTAAATTCACTTTTCACTTTCTCCTACTAGTGTGGTTGATAAGTATATCAGCCATACACATCCACTACTCAGAGTTGTGCGACGACCATTGCAAAGACAATTACGTTCAATATTCTAAGAAGTACCAAAACAACTTGCACACTTAAGTTGGCTACATTTTCGCTTAACCTCAATATCAGATATTACTATCTCACACGCGACTCTCTTGTAACTGATGTATTGCAAATAAACTGTACCAGTACTGAACATTCGCAAAAAAGGTCACAAAATACTTGCGGGAATGCAATACGTAGTAGATTGTAAACTGGAAAAAAAGAACACCATTTATATTTTATGACAAACGAGACAGCGATGTTTGAAGAAGCTATTCCACAAGTAACAAGAGAGTTAGTCATGTTCTATAAGGCAATTTGGAACCATTGCAATCTCCTTGTGTTATATGTAATACAGCAGATCTATACTAATGGGTTCTGGAAAGAATGACGTTTCTATGTTGTTAGGAAGAATTACAAAACACGTATTACCTTATAAATTATTAGAGGGTACTGTATTATAACATTTACTTCATTCCCACAACTTATTTCGTGTACATGTTGTGGCTTTTTGTTTTTGCGCATGCCCAATTTGTGCCGTACTGTAAGTGTTGTGGATGTATCGTCTAATTGGATAGAAAATTGGCTGGATGGAAGAAAGCAGAAGATTGTTATAAAATGGCGTTGTGAATTAATGTGACGAGTGGAAGACATTTTATCTTTTTGATCTATATCTGTGACACAAATGAAGGAATGGTCAATAAATTATTTAAGTTTGCTGATGATATTAAGGTTTTGGATGTTGCTAGCTGTGAGGAAAATGCTACTGTTTTACAAAAGGATTTTAATTATTTGGTGAGTTGGTCGAATAAATGTTAGATGGCTCTTAATTATAATAGATGCAACATAGTATATGTGGGATATCACAATTCAAATTATGAGTATAACTTTGAAGGGAATAACCTTAACAGTGGTGTGGAAGAAAAGGATCTTCCAATGTGCTATTGCTAGTGGTAGGACAAATAAGATTTTGGGTTGTATCTTTAGAAATATTGAATACGTGTCTAAAGATGTTATAATTTCATTGCACAAGCCATTGATGAGGTAGTTTTGTACCCAATATTGGGTGCCTTACCTTAAGAAGGACATTAAATTGTTCCAAAGGTTCAGAGGATGGTAGCTGGGGTGGAAGGTCATTCAAGGACAGGTTAAGATCTCTGAAACTGTTTTCTCTGGGAAAAAAAGTTAGAGGGGATTTGATTGAGGTGTTTAAGATTGTTAAGGTAATTGATAGTGTTGATTGATGTATCATCTTTTATATTATTTAATGATGAGAATGGTAGGGCTAGGGGACTCAATTATAAATTTGTCTAAGAGGGTGGTGGTTGCCCTTTGCAATGGGTTAACTTAATATGTGGTGGTTGCAGTTAATGTAAGGGAGTTTAAGGAAAACTTGATAAATATTTGAAAGATAAGTACTGGCTTTTGGACGTTTTCTTTTAAAGTTTAATTGATGGGACGGTCTAGATGGACAAGAAGCCCTTTGTTATCTACAAATTACATGTATATGCTTATGTACGCGTTTTCAAATGTGATTTCAAGATTTCTGTTATATGGAAGTCGTGTGTTAGATAGTGTAATATTCGATATTGAGGTTTAAGGCTTCTCGTTTCGTCGTGAAAGCGTAGCCAATTCAGGTGTAAAAACTTATATTTGTGTTAGGGATGTGTTTTGTTGAATTTATTTTAGTATTAAAGGAAATTGTCTTTGCTATGGCCATCGTACAAGTCTGAATAGGGAATGTGTAGAGTTGATTGTGTAAAGTGTGCACTGCAGTTCGTCTGATTGTGTAAAGTTTGCACTGCTGTTTGTGTGATTGTGTAAAGTGTGCACTGCTGTTCGTCTGATTGTGTAAAGTTTGCACTGCTGTTCGTCTGATTGTGTAAAGTGTGCACTGCAGTTCGTCTGATTGTGTAAAGTGTGCACTGCAGTTCGTCTGATTGTGTAAAGTTTGCACTGCAGTTCGTCTGATTGTGTAAAGTTTGCACTGCTGTTCGTCTGATTGTGTAAAGTGTGCACTGCAGTTCGTCTGATTGTGTAAAGTTTGCACTGCTGTTTGTCTGATTGTGTAAAGTGTGCACTGCTGTTCGTCTGATTGTGTAAAGTGTGCACGATTGCTCGTCTGATCGTGTAAAGTGTGCACTGTTCTCCATTCTAACGAAACAGGCACGACTGCTGTCCGTTTTAAAAGCTTACAATAACTGTAGCTTTGGTTTTACACAGATGTGTACCTTATAATTGTCTTCCCAAGTATGTCCAAAGTAGTTTGTTTTCAGTTCGAGATTTTAATTTATTTTCTAAATTTTCGGTTTCTGATTTTGAATCATAAAATCTGATAAACTAAGAAAGAAAGTGAGAGCAAAAAAAGTAAAAAAAACGGTAAAAATTAACATAATTATTTTATACTTATGTTTGAACTCTTAATTTTTTCTTTACTTTATAGCTCAATTATTAAAATTCATTTATGTTTTGATCTAATCTATTATGTTATTTTGGAAGAAAAAAGGATTAATAAAGTAATAAACACGTAAGTTTGATCAAAGGTGAAACTGTAGCTTGTCTAACCGTACATGTGAAGGTGGCAAGATGGCAGACGCACCATTTAACTCGCCTTGAAACGACAAAGAAACTGCTCTATTTTAATGGATATCTAACTAGATATAACAAAAATGTGTTTTATATATGACTCTCTGGATATCTATCTAGATATAACAAAAATGTGTTTTATATATGACTCTCTGGATATCTATCTAGATATAACAAAAATGTGTTTTATATATGACTCTCTGGATATCTATCTAGATATAACAAAAATGTGTTTTATATATGACTCTCATTGTTCAGTAAGTGTTGTTTTAACTGCTGCTCCTAGTTTTTTTATCCTCTCTTCTTCTACATAACAAAAAAACGACAAGAAAGTGAATTAATTTTCGTTCTGGGAAAGTATCACGAAGGCCGTACATAGTTTTATCATGTTTGCTAATGTACAGTATTTCATAGATGCTATGGTCACAATAACTTCACCAATAGATCTTTCTGAGGCCAGAAACAGGCGGTTGTTACCTTTACTTTTCTCAAAGTGGAAATACGCTCTCCAAACATAAACGTGATCAAACTTACGTGTTTATTACTTTATTAATCCTTTTTTCTTCCAAAATAACATAATAGATTAGCTACCTAGAGACACTACCTGAAGTACGATTAGACAAGCTACAGTTTCACCTTAGCTATCTAGAGACACTACCTGAAGTACGGTCAGATAAGCTACAGTTTCACCTTAGCTATATAGAGACACTACCTGATCTACGGTCAGATAAGCTACAGTTTCACCTTAGCTACCGAGAGACACTACCTGAAGTACGGTCAGATAAGCTACAGTTTCTCCTTAGCTACCGAGAGACACTACCTGAAGTACGGTTAGATAAGTTACAGTTTCATCTTGACTATCTAGAGACACTACCTGAAGTACGGTTAGATAAGCTACAGTTTCATCTTGGCTATCTAGAGACACTACCTGAAGTACGGTTAGACAAGCTACAGTTTCACCTTAGCTATCTAGAGACACTACCTGAAGTACGGTCAGACAAGCTACAGTTTCACCTTAGCTATCTAGAGACACTACCTGAAGTACGGTCAGACAAGCTACAGTTTCATCTTAGCTATCTAGAGACACTACCTGAAGTACGGTCAGACAAGCTACAGTTTCACCTTAGCTACCTAGAGACACTACCTGAAGTACGGTCAGACAAGCTACAGTTTCACCTT